GCTTAAGTTAAAATGCAATGATCCTGATCTGGTGTTGTTTGTTGTGTCCATGAAAGAAGACCGATGGACTGAAGATGAAATTGAAACTATTGCTCTAGTTAATAGAGCATTGGGTGAAGAGATTTGGCAAAACACTTTACTTGTACTGACGTTTGCAAATGAAATTTATAATGTTAAAAGAAAAGAAGAATTGGCTAGTTTGTTTGTTGAAACATTGCGGAATGAGACAGGAATAAGTCTAACAACTGATGACATGCCAGTTGCTTTAGCTGGTCACTTATCAAAAGGTGAACATTTGCTTGAATATGGAATTGAATATTGGTATACACAGCTCTTCATTAAGGGTATAAAACAAGTCAAAAATAATGGAGCAGATGCTTTAATGCTTCTTATTCTTTATCATAAAGATCAAGTACGTCTCACTGAAGCCATGAAAGAAGCTTTTTGTGATATTTACAATCACAAAGCAAGTAAGTTTTTAAACTAATGTTTTATTTGCAACTATTATAATTTTCCTTTTAGCAAAGACAGTTTTTGCAATAGGAACTTTCACAATATTTATGGTAGTGTTGCCATTTTCATGGATCCCTACTGTTATTGTTGCTGCTGTTGGCACAATAACTACTGCATTAAGCTATGATGTTGTTAAAAGGGTCACTACACTGGATGAATTTTGCAACAGTTGAAAATTATACATACTGAATTTAAATTTTTAATTTTTATTTTATTGATTTGTCCTTAGCTTTATGGAAACTGTTGCTTTTTATTAATGCATACTGTTACTGTAGTTGATTTTTTACAACACTGGGACACAGAGAAAAGAACTCGATACCGGAACTAGGGCTAGGCAAATTATGCTAGCATAATTTGGAGCATAATAGGGCAAGTGATTATGCTGGCATAATTGGAGCATAATGGGTCAAAATTTTTTGTCCATATACCCCTGACCACATGAAATTGCAGTTCAATATGGCAGATGGTGGTACACAAGCACTAGTACAATAACTTAGGCTACTCTATTTTCCAGTGACTCAAAGTCTTTGGAAACATTTCTAGATTCTGGCATTATTCATTACAATTATAACAGATACATACATGTAACTTGATAGTCGATACTTGATTAAAGCATAAAGTATGAGCATAAAATGAGCATAAAATGAGCATAATTGGATTTATTTCAAAGCATAATAGGATGAAATTTTGAGCAGTGCCTAAAAGCATAATAGGCAGAAATTGAAGCATAATTTGCCTAGCCTTAACCGGAACACCCTCTATGCACAGGCCGCCCACGCAGTTTCCAGCTAGAAAAACGTACACCCATTTTTGGAAAAAAATGACTCCTCATTTCGTATCCTTAATAGCTGCTTGTATCTCTT